CTTCCCGCGAGAGTCCCCCCCCCCCCCCGTTGTGCTTAGAACTCTGTGTTACACTGCTCGACCCTGCCTCCCTAGCGCCTCTAACGGCAGTCTAACGGCTCCTCCTCCCCCGCCCCCCTCCGTCTGAGGGGGGCAGTTGCCCCTCTGCTGAGCTGGGTTTTGGTCTGAGGTTAAAGGGGTTATTTTTAATATTTTTTTTTTAAATAAAAGAGCCCTTTCTTTCACTGCCGCCTCAGTTTCACATTAGAGATTTTTTAAAAATCCGATCCCCTTGCGTATCAAGAAAAAAAGGAGAAATAAAAAAGTCCCCGCGTGGCCAAATTGTGCAATATTAGCATCTCGAAAGAGGCGCAGATTATACCCTGCAAACCATGGAGTGAAGATACAGCTGGCAAATGCCCCAGTAACTTTACTTCTGCATTTAAAAGCCCTTCACCTTCAATGAAAAGAAGCATTTCACAGCCTAAATGATCATCTTTAGTCTGCAATTTCCCACCAAAAAACTTTCCCTGTGTTACCCCGCTCGTTGGTAATTTTGTTGAAGTAACTGAAAATGGAGATACTTAAAAAGCTGTTAGCTGCACACATCCTTGGTGCTAAAATCAATATGTGGAGACCTTACTCATTGTATGTCCACTTCTATGGGTTGAGTGGTAATGAAGAAAAATCCCTACTGCATCATTTTCTTTCCCTTTCACATCCTTTTGAAATAGCATGGTACCTCGCTGGAGAGTTAAACTCACTTCCTGTGTCTGCTTTCTCAAAAGACATTTCTAAACTGAAACTAGATCTTCCCTCAAGGATGTGCAAAGAGAAGATTTATTTGGCTTTTCCCTGGTGTCAAAGAGTTTGTGGGCTTGTTAAGCAAATTGCGAATAGTGTCCTTCAAACTCAGTTTTAGATGGCTGTACAACATTAACATAGCGAGACACTTCGTCATCTTCATTTTTCCTTAATCTGTCTTTTTTTTGTTTGAGAAACTGACTTTCCCTTGATGGTCTCCAATGTATGTAAGCTTTACTTATGTAAGTAGTCCCATTGAATTCAGACCAGAGCCTCGAGGCATAATCCAATATTACCTCCTCTTGGGTGTTGCTCAGTGTAAGGCTTGCAGCATTTGGCACTATGTAAAAGCATCACATTGAACTAAACAAATTGTGCGAAGTGTGAAAGTTGCATTTCTGACTTAAGACATTAACTCTGAGATGTTTTCATCTCATGCCTTTAGCAGGGGTTAAATTGAAGGCATCGATGAGAGATGATCCCTGTTCACCCTCGGGTGGAATAAAAGTTTTGATGGGTTCTTAACCCAAACTCTTTAGTTAACTGTAGGGAATAACGAATGCAAAGTAGTTTTAATCATTCTTAGTGCTTATTAAATCATCCATTTGAAATAACAGAAAACATTTCCTCAACTATTTATCATTTTAATTTTTCATACTAATATGGTATGTGTTTTTGTGCTTCTGTCTTTTCCATTAACAGTAGCTTTAGCTACATGTACAGAGAGTATGACTTGTCCTATGATACTACCTCTTATTGTGTAGTTAACTGATTAATGAAGGCTCTACAATCCACTCATGCTATCTGCAAACCCTGTGCAACCCCATTATCATCATTAGGCTTGTGCAGGTGTAATTAATTGGAACTTAATTAACAGTTGTGTTGAATGAAAGTAATTTAGTTCCATTTCTCTTAGTTTTGTTGGCCCTATGGCGCTAACAGGAGTAAAACACAGTTAAAAAAAAAACTTACTTCTAAAGTTAATATATGTGATAACCCACAAGGAGCAGACCTGTGGAGGGAAGAGAATTTGTACAATTTTTTGCTTTGATAAGTGACTCTGTACAAATAGCATCTTCTTTGTCAATAGTGTTTCAGTGGTTTTATATGAGGAATAAATTTGGCCAATGGAACGTAATTGGGTTGTACATCTATAACGGAGGTTATGTTTGAGCTATTGATGTTTTTAATGCATGCAAAAGTTCCTTCCTGTTCTTCTACAAGTAGATAGATTGAGAAGTTTATGACTGAAAATATTGGTAACTAAACTTACAGGCACAAATAAATATTGTAAATTTAGTATCAGAGCTGCAGTATACAAAACTCAAGTTACATTACAACAAAGCAGATGCATTGCTAAGCATACAAGGTCAAAAAGTCCACAGACTGGTTAAGTGCAACTTGAAGATGTGAAACAAAACAGAGTTGTAGTGGGACTTCTTTGCTGGACTGTTGCAGTGTCCTAAGTCGAACATGACAATTAGCTTTCCCTGTATAACTCACATAATTGATACCTACCATATCTTTATGCTACATAAAGTGTTGTATTATTTACAATTTTACCCAATGTCTAACACACCTGCAGGTTGCCAATATATATATAATAGAAAGCTATTACAAAACCAGTACCAGTCTGTTTAGACAACTCTTTGTTTTTTCTGGTAATTTCTCAGAGATTGAGTCCTCCACAAAGGTGCTTTTTTTTTCTTGTGACTGCAGTTTGCCTGCATGGAAAAGAGATTCTTCCATGGTTGTTTCCAAATAATTGTTCCCTCTTTTCCCCATTTCAGAGGATACGTCAGGAAACAATCATATGAGCAAAGGACCATCAGTCATAACTTCTACATTTGATTTGCTGTTTGCCAAAATTAAGTATTTTTATGGTGCTAATCACCATATTTAGGCACCACATTTAGCATAGACCTGTGAGCACTGAATAGGAGAATTGCCTTTCCATTTTAGAACACAGCCTTAAACTAAGCCCTTTAAAATCAGTTACAACCACAGTGTCTCTGTTAACTGCTCGGCTTCACAGGGCTGCTTTGTGCTCGTATTCCACTGACACCACCGTTTTTGAAGTCAAGTCTGAATATGTGAAAATTCCATGAAAAATCCAATAAGATTGAAGCTATGGTTTAATTTTGGAAATCCAAGTACCCAAAAAATATAGGATATTACTTTCATGACTAAGCAACCTCCATTGTCCCATCTCCCATTACTTTTGTACCATATTCTTTTTTCACTGTCAGCTTCCCATATTCTGTTATTCAGCATAAGCTTGAGTCTGAAAGTTAATGACAGACTCATTTGAATTTTTTGCTAGGTTTTCACTTCCAGAACGTGGTCAGGCATGACACTGAAAATAAGTCTTAGGTCTTAGGCTTTGAGACAGTAGCTCAAATAAATCTGTTCTTTTCCCCAGAGTTTCTGTTCTAAATTCATATTTATTTTCACAGAGTTCATGTACCCTAAATAATTATGCACAGCTCTGATGAGTATTTAAAGTTGAATGTTCTTAGTTCTAATATTAAAGATACTTCTCCTGTGGATTAATTGTGCTACTGCTGCATTGACCTGACCGTCGGGCTAACTACAGACAGTCAAAAAGACTGAGGCTGAATCCCCTCACTTTTTGCAGGTTAGTCTAAGCTATATAGATTGAACCGATGAGCAGGTGAACAGACATTCACTTCTGATTCTGGAAATGCAGCCACATGTCTGCAGTGGCCCAGGCCAGAAGCCAGGGGGTGCTGGAGCATGCCCCCCTGCTCAGCTGGAGCAGGTAGCTTGGGCCAAGACTACCCTGGCCAGCCACCCTGCAAGGGGGCAGGGCTTGTGGGGGAGGTGCAAAGCATCCTGGGATGCTGGGGGACTGTAAGTTACCTTGAATCTGGAGGGGATCTGAGACAGAAATTCTATAAACTTATTTAAGCTAAATCAGTTACATCTAATACTACGTTCATCCAGGATTATCTTCAACCAATTTTGGCCATTTTGAAAGCAGTTTATTTGCACTGAACTTCTGTTGGATTATAGGTTTGAACCAGTTCTGATCACTTATACCAGTTTAGGTGTAATTTCTGTCTCTAGCCTAGACCTCAAAACGAGACTTTAGGACTAAAAATGAGAGAATTAGTATACTCCTATCAAACAGTCACTATTCACATGTTTTAGTACAATTAATTAGGAAGAAAAGATATTTTAAGCCCTAGTTTTGAACAATTTTAGTGTACAAACTTTCAAAAAAAAGTCAGTTCCACTGAATTGTTCAGCTTGGCATGCCATCATCACTTTATAAGCTTACAGAAAACAAGACTTCAATTTACCTAATGTGTTTGAGGTTTGTAATGTGTAGATTTCTATTTTTTCTAATACACAGATTATTGGCATAGTAAGGAGAAGTTTTGGTTTATGTTTTCAAGGCCTACTGCAGGATTTCTTTGTACATAAATTATGAAGAAACTGTTATAAGCTATCATGTCAAGGCCTACTTAAAGACTTCTTAGTTCAAGGATCCTTGACACAATAGACCATAATGACTCTCTTGGGGATGTTATAGTCTGTAGTGTTAATGCATTTGTTGTGAATATGCACAAAGTCTGCATATTAAAGATGTGTATGAAACTTTGTATTTCAGATATATTATTGAACTAAAAAAAGAAATAAACAGAAATCTGGATATAGATTTGTCCATCAAATAGATATTACTACGTTGGCATAAGGCATTGTGTTACTACTTCAAAGGTAATAGCAAGATAACCTTAATAAATATGCAATCTATGTAACAGCAAATAGCAAGAATTTTTTTAAAAACAGACTCCCAAGCCTACAGCAAATCAAAGGAGCAAGAAAATGGGGGGAAATATTAAAAGTTTCTCAGTTGGGTTGCATGGTTGGCCTGCCTTGGGCTAATGAGATTTTTACATAGAAGTGAAAAACAAGGTTTAGGTTCCTAGGGGAAGATCATCTTCCTTTCTGAGGATGCTTTTGAAATTGAAATGTGACTATGATAGAGTTGACAGATTTTTCATTTCTGCAAATACAGTTCTAGTTATGAGAAGTCCAGCAGTCATAGATTTAAGGCCATGATGAAAGACATTGATTGTCTATCCTG